ACCCATATCTGAAAAGATATTTGCACACCGATGTTCATAGCAGCATTATTCACAGTGGCCAGGACATGGAAGCAACCAAAGTGTCCTATGATAGATGATTGGCTAAAGAAGCTGTAGCACATATATACAATGGAATATTACTCTGCCATAAGAAGAGATGATATACTTCCGTTTGCGACAACATGGATGAACCTCGAGATAATCATTCTACGTGAAATAAGCCATACAAAAAAAGTTGAAAATTACATGATATCACTGATATGTGGGATATAAACCTAAAAGCAACAAATGAACAGAACAAACAGAGACTTAGGGACATGGACAATGGACTAGTAGTTACCAGAGGGTAGGAGGTGGGGGAGGAAGGGAGAGGTAGATGAGGTAAAGGTGGTCAAATATAAGGGTTTAAGAGGAGGGTGAAGTGGGTAAGGGGATCAAATATATGGTAGCTGAAGGAAACTGGACTTTAGGTGGTAATCACACAATAAAATATATAGATGTCAAACTATAATGTACACCTGAAAATTATATAATTGTATTAACCAATGTTATCCCAATAAACTTAATAAAAAAGTAAAAATTTAAAAAATTACAAATTTAAAAAAGCAAAGAAGAGCAGCCAAGTTAATATAAGAGAAGAGAGGAAAAATAAGAGTAAGAATGAGAGTATAAATAAAAATAAGTGAAACAAAAGTAAAAACCAAAGTCAGAACCACCTCTAAGAGCCACTAGGAACCACTTCTATTGAGAATGGAATCACAGGGCAGAGGAAGAAAGCTTCAAGTAGGAGTATTGAACTGTTTCTAATGCCAGAGAGAGCTGAAGTTTTCATTAGTAATTGTCAGGCAGGGCATTGCTCAACTTGGTCAGAGAATCTTCAGAGGAATAATAGTATAGAAAGTATACAGCAAATGTTATAAAATAAGGAGAGGTGTAGTGGATTTTATTACTCCACCAGGTAATGTATAAGTCTTTTGCAGGTATTTACTTGATCCTACCACATCCTTATTAGATAGATACTATTTTTAACCTCATTTCACAAATGAGTACTTGAGACTGAAAGATTAAGTAATATGCAATAACACATATAAATATTAATAGGCTTAATTGGAATTTCAGTATAAACCCCAGGTTTACATTCTAATCCCCTAGAACAGAGCTCTCCAAAGAAGAGTGTGCAAGATGGTCCAATTGGGTGGGAAAATAGAATGACATAACTTCTATTATGTCTATTTTTTCTCCATGCTCCTTACTTTTTAAATTTATTATTATGTATTCTACATATATATTTGAATTACATGTCATAATATATATATTGTGAATTACTGTACATGTCATATGTATTATGACATGTCATATATTATAACATGTACAGTAATTCACTATATATTTTATGACATGTAATATATATTTGAATTACTATACATGTCATAATACAGTACTTGTGTATAACTTATTAATACAAATACTTAAATTAGAAGTTAAGTTAAAAATTATACTAATTTTGTACTACTAAAAACATTTGGAGACATCTATTTCTGTAATTGTGCTTCTGCGGGAGTGAGAAAAAATATCTAATATTGGTTAATATGTACATTAGTGTGAAATTAGGGAAAAAAATAAAACCTTAAAGTTATTCCTTGTTACATATTCCAGTTATTTAGCTGTACATCTTCTTTTCCTCTCCACCTCCTTGTGAGCTGGTATGTTCCTTCTCCTTCATTTACAAGTAGTTCTGTTGGGGATATGATGAGTGGAAATTTATCAACAGTGACTGAATTTATCTTTACTGGCTTTCTCCGGATCCAGGATGGTAGTCTCTTATACTTCTTTCCTTTACTTTTTATCTGCACCTTTATCATCATTGAGAATCTATTGATCTTCTTTACTGTAAGGCTGGACACCCATCTCCACAATCCCATGTATAATTTCATCAGTATCTTTTCCTTTCTGGAGATCTGGTACACCACAGCCACCATTCCCAAGATTCTCTCTAATCTCATCAGTGAAAAGAAGACCATCTCTACTACAGGCTGCCTCTTGCAGATGTACTTCTTCCATTCACTAGGAAATTCAAAAGGTATCTTGCTGATCACCATGGCCATTGACAGATATGTTGCCAGCTGCAACCCTTTTCGCTATCGAATGATCATGACCCCTCGGCTTTGTGCTCAATTCTCTGCATGCTCCTGCATCTTTGGCTTCCTCATCCTACTTCCTGAGATTTTAATGATTTCAACACTGCCTTTCTGTGGGCCCAATTAAATCCACCAGATCTTCTGTGACTTGGTCCCTGTGCTGAGCTTGGCCTGTACAGACACATCCATGATTCTGATTGAGGATGTGATCCATTCTGTGGCCATCATCATTACCATCCTAATCATCGCCCTGTCCTACATAAGAATCGTCACCGTGATCCTGAGGATTTCCTCTGCTGAGGGTCGGCAAAAGGCTTTTTCTACCTGTGCAGGTCATTTCACCATCTTCCTGATGTTCTTCGGCAGTGTATCGCTCATGTACTTGCGTTTCAATACCACTTATCCACCAGTTTTAGACACAGCCATTTCACTGATGTTTACTGTACTTGCCCCATTCTTCAATCCCATCATTTATAGTCTGAGAAACAAAGATATGAAGAATGCAATTAAAGAACTCTTCTTTCTTTAGAAAGCATTGAACACATCTGGAGGTTAATTCTGAGTCACAGCTTCTCTTTCATTGTTTTAATGTTTCTCTAACAGATTAAAACATAAAATTACTATATACCTAATTCTTTGTCACACTGAACATTCTGTTGTCCTGAGTATTTTCTTATATGTAAGAAAGCACAGTTATATTCTGTGTCATCGTTATGCAACTTGATGTGTATATATATATCATCAAAAACTTTATTTTGGGGTTAAAAGTTATTCTTTCCTTTGAAAAGTAGTAATTAAAGGAAAAAATGCTCACCACTTTAGAGGGTTAGAATTGTCCATCAGAAGCTGGCCATCCACTTCGAGATATTATGTCTTTATTTAGGTAGTAGATTATACAGGAGCGATACCAAAGAAAAAGACAAATACAATCTTATGGAATTACATTACACATTTATTTTTAGTTATATAATAAATATATATAACTATATAACTATATATAATAAGCATTTATCTTTAGTAACACTTAATTATTAATATTGTCGGTCATGTTCATAAGAAAACTATAGTATAGAATAATATTTATAATAATACACTTTATTACATACAGCTAAGTACATATATGAATTATAATTATTGTTTGCCTTTTTAGGGCTAAGCATCTTCATTTTCTCTAACATTTACAGTCAAAGTCTTTTTTGCACCTGTTGAATAGCAGCATTAAAAACCATAATTCATTTAACCTTTTAACTAAATAACTCTAAAAACTTTCTTACCCTTGCCATACCTAATATAACTGCCTTAATTTAAGTTTCTATCATCATTTATGCACAGCTATTGTAATTATCTTTATAAAACACAAGGACAAATTTAGCTATACACATAGAAATTTTTTCTCACATGTTTGCTCGGAAAAAAAAAAATAAAAAACTAGGACAAGAAAGTAATGGAAATACCAAGCTACCAGGAAAAAAAAAAGATAAAATGGCTATAGGAAAACCCCATATTTCAATAATCACCCTAAATGTAAATGGACTGTGTCACCAATAAAAAGGCAGAGTGCAAATTGCATCAAAAAACAAAACCCAACCATATGCTGCTCGAGGAGACCATCTGAGTTCTAAAAACAAATATAAACTCAAAGTGAAAGGGTAGAAAATAATATTTCGAGCAAATGGCATTCAGAGAAAAGCGGGAGTAGCAGAACTAATTTTGGATGAAATAGATTTCAAAATAAAAAAAAGTAAAGAAAGATACTGAGGGATACTTCATAATGATAAAGAGAATCATGCAACAAGAAGACATAACACTTATTAATATCTATGCTCTCAATCAGGGAGCCCCGAAACATGTAAAGCAAATACTAACAGAACTAAAGGGAGAAACAGAGCAAAACATTATCATAGTAGAGGACCTAAATACCCCACTCTTAGATATGGACAGATCATCTAAACAGAAAATCAATAAGAAAATAACAACCTTAAATGACACATTAGACCAACTGGACATAATTGACATTTATAGAGACTTTCATTCCAAAACAACTGCTTATACATGCTTCTCTAGTGCACATGGAACATTGTCAAGGATTGACCACCTACTGGAACACAGAGAAAATCTCAACAAATTAGAGTAGTTTGAAAGCATACCAACCATATTCTCTGATCATAATGTTTTGAAGCTGTAGATCAACTGTAAAAGAAAGCGGGAAGAACAAATACATAAAGAAGAAACAACATGCTACTAAAGAATAACTGAGTCAGAGAAAAAATAAAAAGAGAGATCAAGAGATACATAGAAATGAATGATAATGATAGTACAATATATCAAAACTTCTGGGACATGGCAAAAGCTGTCATAAGAGAAAAGTTTCTATCATCACAGGCCTATCTCAAAAAAACAAAAACAAGCCTGAATAAACAACCTAACACTTCATCTTAAAAAGAAAAACAAATGAAGCCTAAAGACAGCAGAAGGAAAGAAATAATCAAAATTAGAGCAGAATTAAATGAAATTGGAAAAAAAAGAAAAAAAGAAATGCAACAAAGAGCTGGTTCTTTAAGAAGGTTAATAAAATTGACAAACCCCTGGCTAGACTCACTAAAATAAAAAGAGAAAGGACACAAATAAACAAAATCAGGGATGAGAGAAGAGAAATTATGATAGATATGGCAGAAATATAAAGGATTGTATAAGAATACTATGAAAAAGGATATAACACAAAATTTAACGACCTAGAAGAAATGGACAAGAACTTAGAAAAATAGAACCTTCCTAGACTGAATCAAGAAGAACTGGAAATTCGAAATAGACCAATCAGCAGCACGGAAATTGAAACAATCATCAAACCTACCAAAAAGTATAAGTCCAGGACTAGATGGCTTCACCAGTGAATTCTACCAAACATTCAAAGATTTAATACCTATTCTCCTCAAACTTCCAAAAAATTGAAGAGAAGGCAATATTTCCTAACTCATTTTTTGAGGCTAAAATTACCCTGATACCAAAACCTGGTAAAGATAAAACGAAAAAAGAAAACTATAGACCAATATCTCTCATGAATACAAATTCAAAAATCCTAAATAAGGTACTAGTGAACTGAATACAGCAACATATTAAAAAGATTAGACACCAGGATCAAGTGGGCTTCATCCCAGGGGCACACGGATGATTCAACATATGCAAATCGATTAATGTGATATACCACATAACAAATTAAAAAATAAGAATCATATGATCATATCAATAGATGCAGAAAAAGCCTTCAACAAGATATAGCATCGATTTATGATCAAAACACTTAACAAAATAAGTATAGAAGCAAAGAATTTAACATAATAAAGGCCATATATGGTAAACCCTCAGCCAACATTATACTTTATGGTGAAAAACTAAAAACATTTCCTCTGAGAACAGGAAGAAGACAAGACTTTTCAGTATCGCTGCTGCTATTCAATAAGACTTTGGAGGTCCTAGCAAGTGCAATCAGGCAAGAAAATGATATAAAAGGCATCCAAATAGGAAACGAAGAGGTCAAACTGTCACTATTTGTGGATGACATGATTCTCTATATAGAAAACCCTAAAGATTCCACAAGAAACACTACTAGAAAAAATAAGCAAATATTATAAAGTTTCCGGATACAAAATCAATGTTCAAAAATTCATAGTGTTCCTATAGTTTAATAACAAATTGTCAGAATAGAAGTGGAAAAAAATAATTCTTTTTATAATTGCTACAAAAAAGAATATAATACCTAGGAATAAATCTAATAAAACATGTGAAGGACCTATATAATGAAAACTATAAAATCCTATTAAAAGAAATTGAAGAAGATACAAAGAAATGGAAAGATATTTCGTGTTGTTGGGTTGGAAGACTCAACATATTTAAAATAATCTTATTATTTAAAGTATTATGCAGATTTAATGCAATCCCTATCAAAATCTCATTCGTATTTTTTAAAGAAACAAAACAAAAAATCATCAAATTTGTATGGAAGCACAAAAGACCTTGAATTTCCAAAGCTATTCTGAGAAAAAAGAATAACTCTGGAGGCATCACTCTGCCTGACGACAAATTATACTATAAAATGACAGCGATGAAAATGGCATGATATTGGCAACAGAACAGACACACGGACCAGTGGAACAGAATCAAGAGTCCAGAAGGAAACCCATATTTATATGGGCAAAGAATTTTTGACAAAAAAAACAACAACATACAGTGGAAAAAGGAAAATTTTTTCAATAAATGGTGCTGGGATAACTGGAAAGCCACCTGCAAAAGAATGAATCCAGATTGTTGTCTATCACCACACACCAATATTAATTCAAAATGGATTAAGGACCTGAGTATAAAATCTGAAACAATGAAATGCATAGAAGAAAACATAGGAACTAAACTCAAGGACCTTGGGCTTAAAGGGAATTTTATGAATTTGACCTCAAAGAAAAGGGAGGTAAAGCAAAAATAAATGAATGAGACTACATCAAACTAAAAAGCTTCTGCTCAGCAAAAGAAACCGTCAACAAGGTAAAGAGACAACCATCTGAATGAGATACATATTTGCAAACAATGCTTCCAATAAGGGCCTAATATCCTAAATATACAAATAAATCATACAACAGAATAACAACAACAACAACAAAAACCAATCCAATTAAAAAATGGGCAAAGGACCTGAACAGACACTTCTCCCTAGAAGACATACAAATGGTCAACAAACATATGAAAAGGTGCTCAATATCGCTAGCTATTAGGGAAATTCAAATCAAAACCACAATGCAATACTACCTCACACCTGTTAGAACAGCTTTTACCAACAGGACTTCTAATAACAGGTGTTGGAGAGGAAACGGAGAAAAGGAACCCTCATACACTGCTGGTGGGACTGCAAATTGGTACAGTCACTATGGAAAACAGTATGGAGGTTCCTCAAAAAACTAAGAATTGATCTACCATATGATTCAGCCTTCCCTCTACTGAGTATTTACCCCAAAGTCTTGAAAACCCACATCTGAAAAGATATTTGCATACTGACGTTTATAGCAGCATTATTCACGGTAGCCAAGACATGGAAGCATCCGAAGTATCCTACAATAGACGATTGAATAATGAAGCTGTGGTATGTATGTATATACACACACACACACACACACACACACACACACACAATGGAATATTACTCAGCCATAAGATGAGATGAAATATTGCCATTTACAACAACTTGGATAGACCCTGAGATGATCATGCTAAGCAAAACAAGCCAGACAGAAAAATTTGAAAACAACTTGATGTCACTTATATGTGGAATATAAACCTAAAAGCAACAAACAAGCAGGACAAACAAGCAGAGACTCATGGACATGGACAATAGACTCTTGGTTACTAGAGTTAGGGGGATAGTAGGGAGAGGGGAGTTTGGTGGTGCAAATAGGTAAATCTGTGGTGACAGAAATAAATCTAACTATGGGTGGTGAACCCACAATGCAATGTGTATATATATGCCTTATTGCTGAATTGTACACC